GGCGACGGCAGCGGCGCCGTCGCCGCCGCTGCGGCGGCGACGGCGACGGTGCGAGTCAGGGGGTCGGCGCGCTTGGGGTGGGGGTCGCGCACGGCGATGGTGGTGGCACCAAAAGCATAGGTCTGGGGACAAGAGTGGAGGTATGGGGTGCACTTTGGGGGAACTTTATAAAATGTCGATGATGCACTGACTGACTTACAGTACACTTGAAGGTGAGGGTGTGTTCCAGCGCCCCTCTGCAGGGCGGCCGGCGCAGGCTCCGCAGGATCGTGTGCAACAAATTCTTAAGCTTACAGCGTCGGCAGCGGCGGCACGTATAGCTCCGCAGCCGCGGCGGCCAGCGGCACGCCTGAATGCTGTGGGCGCCCGCGTCACAGTGACACGCGAGGCGCCGGCACCTCGCACGACCCTGCACTGAGCGCGCGTGTGCATGATGATGGATGGCTGGGCGCGGCGATCGAGGGTGTTCTTTTGCTTTTAGCGGGGGCGTCGTCACTAGCTGACAGGGGACTCACTCCGCACGATCGAACAATGAGCGTTGTGCATCGATCCGATTTTATTACGACGGGTGCGCTGCATTCCTCTGCGTCATCGCACGATCAGCGTGTGCAAGATGAGATCATCCTCGTCGACGTCCCGCTTGCTTGTGCGCGCTTTGCGCGGGTGTGCGCTTGAAGCTCCATCTGCATCTGATCTGCCATCGTCTGCGAGTGCCCTATGGACATCGGGCAGAGTCACGACGGCATGGTTGGCAACCGCAGCGCCAGCGGGCGACGCGGCGGCACGTGCCATGTCAAACGCTCCCGCGCGCGGCTTTGCGGCGTCTGCTGGCAGCGGTGACGAATATGGGTATGAATTTGAGGACCGCATCGTGTACCCGGCGCCCAGGGCGTTCGTAGGCGAGCCCGCGCCAGACTTTGTGGCCCCAGGTAGGCAAGGGCGGCTGCACGTCTGGACCTCCCACACCAAGCTTGTGTTGTGTTGTGATGCCCAGCGCCCGCAGCCTCTCAAACCTGACATGCAATTGCCAGCAGCTGGCTGCAGCCCTGCCCTCGGGCACGACCACGGCTGCGCCTGCACGCGCATTGGCATCTCTGCTTCACGACCGCCCACCCTGCTGCCCGCACCTCTCACCCTGTGCTTTCCGTGGTCGGCCACATGCGCCATTGACGCGTGACCAGCCGTGGTGGGGGGCGAGGTCAAGAACATCAAGCTCAGCGACTACAAGGGCAAGTGAGTCACAGGGCGGTCGCAGGCGGCAGCAGCAGGCCTGCATCCTGCATGCCGCCCGCAGCTGGCGCGAGTCAGTGCAGCAGCGTTTGTTGGCGCTCGAGTTTGGAAGCTCTCGGAGTGCAACGCGGGGTTGCATCTTTATGTATTGACGGGGGGCATCTTATCCAATCCACCCATCCACTCATGCTCTATGATGTTTGGCAGGTATGTCGTCCTCTTCTTCTACCCGAAGGTGAGCACGGCGTGTGTGGGGGCTGGGGGAGGGGCGAGCGTGATCACCGTACGCATGGCCCATTGAGCACTTGCATGGCCGTTTGCAATGCGCCTGCGAGCTTGGCGAGAGCGGCCGTTGGACGAGAGCGTCGATGCCGCACGGCAGCCCCGCTACGGCCAGTCGTCGGGGGCCGGGGGCCTGTCGGGCACCCGTGAAGCCCCAGCTGACAGGCAGCGGCTCACAGGGAAAAGGGTATCAGCCGGCATCTCGAGGCCTCAGCAGGCGCAGAAGCCGTGCGTCGGCCTGTCACGCAGCCACCAACGCAGCCGTCAACCATCTCCGCTGCCTGCCACGGCGGCTTCGTCAGCACGGTGCCCTCCACCCCCAAGCCCACCCCTTGCACCCATCCACGCTCCCCCTGCTCGCCGCCACCTCGACTTTCGCACGTTCAGGACTTCACGTTTGTGTGCCCCACAGAGATCGTCGCATTCTCTGACCGGGCCAAGGACTTCGAGGCCCTCAACGTCCAGGTGGGGGTTTCGGGGCTTTCTGGTGATGTCAGCATGACGTCATCTGTCCAATTTGTCACGCGCCCAGCCGGCTTTTGAGCGCTTGATGTGATCGTGCGGAGCCCTCCTGCGGCACAAAGCCCGCACAAAAGGTCTTGTATGGGACGCTCTATACGCTTTGTCGGCCGCACCGGCGGCTGTGCGCTGTTGTCGTGCCGTGACGCGGTCCAGACAACTGCACCCACGCCCACGGTCATTGGCAGGTCATCGCCGCCAGCACAGACACCGAGGAGTGCCACCTCGCCTGGATCAAGTGAGAGGCGATCAGCACAACAGCGGGCGCTCCCAGGGGGCTGGGCCGGGCGGACGCCCGCTGCGGTCCCCTTGGGGGCCGGCGGTCAGCCTGCTGTACCGGACGCCGTGCAAGCCACCGGCTCGCTGCCGTCCTCGCGCCGCGGGTCGGGCATGTGTAATTGGGCGGTCGAGCTCCAAATTCCCTGTTTTCCACCTGCATACACGAAGCCAAACCTGTGCATGCAGGTCTCTCTCATATCCTCCAGCAGTGCCCCCCCCCCCTCACACTACTC